AAATTCACAAATTGGTATAACTCTGATTATCAAAGTAAAATATTTGTACAGTACAAATATATACATATATATATATATATGGGAGGCTGGGTGGCACTCCTTTTTTTACATGACTTTTTACACATATTTTTGTACATCCCACTCCGTACATAGAGTTGAACATAGTAAAATAAGAAATTGAAAGATTTCGTTGAAATTGTTCGTTTGGAAATTTTCCGAAAAACTAATCGTATGTTCTTCTCTCCATAGGAACAATAGGGCCGTTATGCTCATTACTAAACTTGTTGAAGAGATGAAATATAATCAAGGTATATATGACCATTGGATAAAGGGTTTCTTTGTAGAACTGTTCTCTTCACTACAAATGAATGTTTTAATAATTTTGAATTTGTCTAATTTTTTGTAAGATGATCTATGAATGATATTTTAAAAGGAAAACTAATGAAAAATACTTGAAAACTTTGAGTTTTAATGATAAGGACAAAATAAAGGGTAAAGTGAATAGTATCAGGATTTACTTTTTAGTGTAAAAATGTGGTTTTTCGTTAAAGTGAACAATACTGGGTGTTTTTCGTTAAAGTTCCCTATTTTAAAAGATAGACGAATCAGATCATTAAAATACATTACAAATTAAACCACATAAAAAACGTGTGTCAAATATAAAAAATAGTATCACAATCTGCCTCTTATATTAGCTAAAGTTAAAAAATGATGGTTCTTCCTATAGACGCGATATTAGGTAGAGGTGAAAGGTGTAATTAGGGGTGGGCACTTAGAACCGAAAACCGAAACCGAAACACGAACCAAATCAAACCGTACCGAACGGTTTGGTTTTGCGGTTTTGAAACGGTTTTGGTTTTGAAACCGAACCGCAACATAGAAAACGGTTTGGTTTCAGTTTTGGCTTTTGAAAACCGCATCGAAAGCAAACCAAACTGAAAATATTAATAAACATTTAATTAAATGTCCATATTAGATTTCATGTTTTAATTGGTTGTTTGTTAGAATCCATACTTTTAGTATGGACTCAACCACACTAGAATATCATCATTCATCACTTTCTTTTGTTCATTAACTCGAATGACCTTTGTTATTTTATACCATCACACACACACACACATATGTATAAGGGTGGACTAATCTTGTTATCAAGAGTCGAACAATGATCTAATGAAGTCCACTCATTTGAAGCATGATATCACATAATGAAAGTTTCGCTCACGTTTAATAAATTCAAAGTTATTCAACTTGTTTTATGTTATACCTTGTATGGGACACCCTTTTGTTGTACAAACATATTTTAACATCACAACTGCATGCAACATGCTAATTGTTTACATAACAAATGTCTTTTTCCTATTGCTACTGGGAAATGCTTATTAATATGTTAAATTGCAAATTGTACATTTTTTCTTAAAAACCAAACCGAAACCATTTGAAACCGCACTGAACCGAACCAAACGGTTTGGTTTCATTTAGGTTTTGGCTTCAAAACCACACCGAACCGAACCGCAAAAAAATTCGGTTTCAGTTTTAGTTTAACTCAAAACCGCACCGAACCAAATCATGCCCACCCCTAGGTGTAATGCATGCTTATTGATTGCTTTATTGATTGCTCTTGGACATCAATCACACCGGAACAGGTTTTAGAGTAGTTGTAGTTGTTATAATTAGATGTGATTTGTTATGGTAGTGTTGAGTCTGCACTATTTATTATCGTTTAAGACTATAAATGTTTACCAAAAAAAAAAAAAATTCTCAATGTATAAATGCTACACAGATTCAATTCTTTACAAAATGAAAGTGAACATAAGATTTGAAGTTTACAGTAAATATTCTTAACTAATTAAAGGTTTTTTTAATCAAAATAATTTTTGAAATTGATATAACTCTTCACCTAGTTCTGAGACTGAATTTTGAGTTTGTCCATCATCAATAATTTTGGTTATTCTGTGAAAACCTCCTTAAATAAGGATAAAATGAAAAAAATACCCTCAAGTTTGTCAAATCATTCTAGCCCATTATTTATTAAATTGAAAATATTTTTATCATTTTTGTTTTTATTTAACAAATATTTTTTTTACAGAATGGTCAAAATAATTGATAATTGATAAACTCAGAACCACTTCTATCGATTTCAAATCTCACAAACCAAAATGAAGAGTTATATCAATCTCATAAACCATTATAGAACAACTACTTGATACCAAATTATCATTTAAAACTTAGCTATGAAGCATATAAAATAATAGTCTTAATGAAACAAATTAGAAATAACATGTTGCTTAATTTCTAGCAAAAGCCAAATCTTTTCTTGTGAATTTTGTGATCGAGATTTTACCTTTTTAATTGATACATTCTCACTTGTCTACTACGAAAATTGTGGAGATTTTACCTTTTTAATTGAATTTGCATTTTGTGATCATTAGGACGTTTGACTTAAAATTCAATTTTTGTAAAATAATGTAGAGGAATATAAAAAAGTTGCTTGAATCGCCAGGTCATGGGTCACGTCCACGAATTTAGCGCCCCATGTGCTTCCCACTTCACTCTTGATTCTATTTTTTGACAAGAGTCACAAGACCTTACACGTGGACCAATAACTCTTTCCCACGTTGGTGGTGAGGGTCAGAGATTTGATGTGTGCAGGATGACATTGGATTCATGATGATCTCTGATTAGAGCGTGCGATGCACTCGCAACCATGTGAGCCTTCATCATTGTTGCTTGATTTATAGCTCACCGAGTTAACAATATAGCCATGTCTACCGTCCATGTGAACGTCAATCTGGAATTTTGCATTTGTTTCGAGGGTTTTTAGTGGGAATTAAAAGGTCTTTACTTACTTAAGTAGTTCAATACAGAGAATACGAAATGCAAATTCTATGAAAATGGGGTTTCAAATGAGATAGGATAATGATTGGAGATCAGGAAGTATCAAAGAGTGAACGCTTTAGTTATTTTTTATCCATTTTGCAAAAGAAAATAGAATTAGATGGAGATCTCAACCATAGTTTACAAGCTGGATGGATGAAGTAGAAGAGTTCATCGGGTGTATTGTGTGACATTCGTATGCTATTAAAGCTAAAGGGAAAATTTTGTAAGACTGCAATAAGGTCAGCAATGTTTTACAACACAGAATGTTGAGTTGTCAAGCATTAACACGTGAATAAAATGAGTGTAGCAAAGATGAAAATGTTTTGTTGGATATGTGGACACATGAAAAAATGACAAGGTTAAGAATGAGGATATTCTAGATAAAGTACGAGTGGCCGCAATTGAAGATAAGATGAGAGAAAATCGGTTAAGGTGGTTGGACATGTGAAATGAAGACCTATAGCTACAGATGTTCCGATTAGAAAATACCATTATGAAACAGATGTTCAGGGCAAAATGGGGTAGAGAAAGACCTATGAAGACTTTGAAATAGACTTTTAAAAATGACATAGAGTACTTGGAGTTAAGGAAAGATTTTGCACAAAACCAATGCGCAGTGGCATTCTAAGATTTATACAATCGACCCCATTTAGTGAAAGAAAGTTTGTTGTTGTTTGCCTCGAGGGTTTTTAGTGGGTTTAGAAATTTGGATTTCTAGTTAATTAATCTCTTCTCATCTTGTGTAACTTGTTTTTTTGGTGGGAAGAAAATTAAAAAGATGATTTTAGTATCTTTGGGAAGCATAAATTAGTTTGAAATAGTTTTTTCTTTATGGATATTCAACACAAAACTAAATGTTTGGACTACCGTACGATTATTAATCTATACGTATAAATGTGCGTATCTCTGAAACCATATACTTATTCCTAATATCGTAAATAATATTTTAAAGAAACATGATGACTCAACAGTCACACATGTTTCACATTACTCAATTAGTGTTTCCATATTTGAGAGAGTTTGTGAGAATGTAAAGTGTCGCTCAATAAATGTCAACGCATCTAATTGCCAAAATGATAATTATATCGAATATATATAAGTATTGCAGCCAAATTCTAAAAAGTAAACAAATTAAAGGAGTTTGACCTATACTGGTGGAACGTTTCGATTTGGCTTATAATAGACCAAGCATATCAACCGAGCAGTTCCTTTTGTTCTTTACCTGAGGCTGTCATACTTGATTAATTCATTCACTTGCTTGCTTCAATTGCCATCGTTTATATTTTGAATTTGGGTCCTACAAATCATAAATAAAATGGTTTGTTAAAAAAAAATCTCAAAAGTTCTCTTGTTAGGTAGTTCAGTTAGTATGTATAATATTGTTAGATAACGAAGCTAAGAGCCAGTTTGGAAGAGTTTTTAAAATGACTAAAAACGTTTTAGGAGAAATTTTTTTTGGGTTCTAAAAGCACTTCAAGTACTTTTATAAGATATCTTTGTATTTTTACTAAGAATTGGTTTCAAAATCATTTTCACCAAAAGCTTTTAGTTATTTTAAAAGTACTTTCAAAACGAACCTTAAAATATTAAACACGTGTACTATTTTTCGAAACAAAACATTAAATTGTTATGAAATCATTTCTAAATTATTTTTAAAGTTTCACTTATGGAAAAAAATTCCGTCATCTTTTTTTATAAAACGAAATATATATTTTATTGTCACCCCATAAAAATAGTAACCTTTGATAAAAAAAAAAATAATAATAGTAACCTTTAAATTCAAAAATGAGAAAAGAAAAGGGCCAAATTAAATTGTAATCCTTCTAGTTTCACATTTCTTTAACTTAAGGACTTGTAGTTTTTACTTTGCCACTTGAGGCCTTGTAGACTTATAGTAAGTTTACGATTTCAACAAGGAATAGTCTGTTATGCCCTTCCAAAGTAGTATTTTTGTACTAATTACCACGCTCCAAATTAATTAATGGTCAATTTGCCATTCCATATGTTATTTTATCTTGTGATCAGAACATGAAATCTTGTTTCATGGTATAATGGATTGTCCTTAATTAAAAGCTTCCACAAGGGTACAAATATAATTTGGCCAAAGAAAGATAGTATCTGTATTCACTAGGTTTCCCAAGTCCAACATTGATTAAAAGCAGAATTACATCAAGCTTCATGCAGTTCAACTATTTTCTTTACACATATATCTAATAGAACCAAAATTCCAAATCCACCAAGTCACAAAATTTGCCAAATTTTTTTGTAAAAACATAACTTTCACAATTACTCTTACCTAAAAAGGTCTCAACCTTGATTGATCCCACTCTAATTTCACAAAACAAATAAAACCAGTCCAACTATCCAACCTTCCTCATCATAATTTCACCAAAAACACACAAACGAAAGCAACTTACATGAAATAGGACCGCCACTGGGTCAGTTCCCCACAATCCACAACTAAAATTTTCCAAATTTCCACATGCGAGCACCCAACAAATCCCAAAACACCAATTTCAATGCAAAACTGCAAACCCCAACAAATTTAAACACACAAACTAATAAAAGAGTGAAGCTTTACGTGGTTGAAGACGGCCCAAGAAGTGGGTTTTCCTTGAAGGGCTGAAAGGAGAGGCGATGAGATTTTCAACCACCTTCATCCCACACTGTGTCATTGTCTACTAGTAATATCTGCTTAGAATTTTGTTTAAGTGTGAACTTTGTAATTTTTTAGATTTTTTTTGTTGTACGTTTTTTATATTTTTTGGCTTTTTTACCATGGAATTAATCCTAACCGTTGAACTTTTCAACTTTTTAATATCAAATGCGCTACAAAGTGCCACGTGGCACATCATCTTTTTAAATTTCTTTTATCGTTTAAATTTAATGGTCCGGATCAACAAATTGTTGAAAATCCAACAGCTGTGGCGCCCAAATTTGAGCCGTTTGGAGGCTTATGTCAATCTCTAACAATTGTTCGAATTGTTGTATCCAAATATTATACATTCAATTGAGTCAATGAAGCATGTGTGTCAACGAATTTTGAAGAGTTCGGCTTGGTTCTCTCTCTTTGGTCTTTAATGATTAAGTGTGAGGCACATGTTTGTTGACTAATTGAGTCCCTTCTCTAAGTTTTTAGTAGATATTGTATAATTTGCTTTTATGAGCACTTCTTTAAGCTGTCAAGTTCCCAAAATGTACAAGGAGACATCAAGTTTAACAAGTCACGAACTGTGATCAATCCAAATGCAGTGAAATTAGGGATTTTGCACTTAAAAACTCAGTTAGCCTTAGACCATAGGATTAGCATTTTGCACATGTGAGTATCATTGACTTGCTCATTTTATTTTTCTGGATAAGAAACAAACTGTCATTGAAGGGAGAAGAAAGTGTATAAAAACAAAGTTTCTGTAAGCTTGCACTCATATGCCTAATATTTTAATTTCTTTTCTTGGTAGGTATTTTCTCTGATATTGCTGAATGACCTATTTTTGAGAAAGGCATGGATTACTTTCAAGCATTTTCCTTATACAATTGGATCATGATAATATTTTGAGGCATATCAATTTATTCCACATGTGAATAGTTTTGAATTCAAAGTCTAGTTTTTCGATTTCAATCTGGCATATGATATTTGAATAGCATAAGTATTTTTAGTGTCAGTCCAATTTTCTGAAAGGTAACTAAGTAAAACAATATTTTGTCATTTTTCTTCAGGTAAATATAACAATGTTTTGTAATCTTTTTTGTTACTTTCTATGTAAATTATTCATGTCTGTTGTAGATAATGGTTTCAAAACCCGCAGCAAAGTGCGAGCAAATCTTCTAGTTCAAACTAAACGAAGAACCAAATAAAAAATCATTCAATCTCATGGTAAAACGCCATTCCATCAAATAAGAATGCAAATAAACAAAGAAAACGGGACTAGCTACAACTAGAAGAATCAAATTTCTCATTGTCGTAGACAGCCATAATAAATAATTTCATCCAACTTTATCATACAGATTGGAGGGTTCACAGTGATTCTATTCTTGAGCCATCTTCAATTCGAAACATACACAAGTGTCATCGTTCTCCTTTTTGTGGCTTTAGAAACCCTATAATTATTTTGATCGAATGCAACTTAATATAAGGAAGTGAGGTGTTAAAATGACAGAAATAACCCTGAACACAAGTCATGTGCCTCGCACATGACTTACTTTGAATGGAAAACTTAACGGAATTAGGATGAGATGACAAATTGATGATTTCAGAAAGTTGGTATGACAAATTGCTTAAATTTTTAGTTTATTTAACAAATTGAAAAATATGTACAAGTTTATATGACATTTCAAAAATTATTTATTCCCAAATTATCTATTCTAAAGTTGATAGCTACAGTCAAATCTTTGCCACTCAATTTCACGCTATTTACAACAATGCCAGCCAAATTGGTATGGGTTGGGAGGGTAATTCTCAAAAGTTGAGAGGGTAATTTTGTCCGTATGGTTTAGAACGGATTGCGATGGGTTAGACACGTGCGCTCTCTCTCATCTGTCACTTCCTGTTTCTGTCCTTGTCTACTGGAAAACCCACAATCTTTCATCTTCCTCTGCTTTTCCTCTCTCTCCGCTCCCCATATCTCTCGACATGAAGCACATAAACCAACTAGTGACGGTCGAAACCCTCAAACATGGCGGAGGGGAAATGGAGGAGCAATGACGGTCGACAACTGCCTCCGGTGTCGATGAATTTGGTCGTCGGAAAGCGTCCTCGCTCCGATTATGGTATGTTGAATTTCTCGATTTTCCCTTTATTTGAGTCTCCTCTCTCCTTTTGCGTTTGTTTAGGGTTTATAAATTAGGGTTCTTAGGGATTTTAGGGTTTTCTCGATTTTTTTTCTTCAGAAATTGCACTGTATTTCTTAGATCGGAGCTGTTCTTATTTTGAAAAAATTGGACTAATGTTGATTTTAGCTCTCGTCTCTCTGGTAATTACTTTGAACCCCAAAAGATTTGAAATTTCCGGTAATTGTTCTCATTGTTTTTGACAATTTGTTGTTAGAATTTGTATAAATTGCTGCCATTGTGTTGTGAAGTGTTATGATTATTTCAAAGAACACCGATTATATCAATTGCAATTCTGCAGATGGCTAGTGAAATAATGGCCTGCGAAAGGAAGGAAAAAAAAATCCTAGAAAACACCATCGGATGATGTTTTAATCAATTGAGAAAACTGTAATTACTCACTTTTTAACAAATTAAGGTTTCTTATTTCACTTCTTTGCAGGAAGCTATTAATTCTGCATCATCGGTGACTCAAACCTTAAGCAGCGAAGTGGCTGACGGTCAACATAAGCTCCTAGCTCTTGCAGCTGCACGAGGAAAACTCAAGTGCAGTAAATCCTCTGGTCACACAACTCACTAATGGACCCTTGGGTGGTCTTCATGAGAAGGTTTGTTCGATCTTAAATATGTGGAATATGTGGATATGTAACTCCAAATGTTCAATTTTATCAAATGAGTGTTGGTTGGTTGGCTATTTTAATCATGAAAAGCAATATATTTTAGTTGAGCAAACATTATGCATGGACTTGGAACTTCTTCCTTTGAATTGTAGTTGGAAGGGTGTATGATAAATTTAGTGGGATTTGAGCATAAGCCAGTTGCCAGCCCAATACAACTTATCGCATCCCGCAAGATTAATTTATCCACATTGGAGAATTTCTCATTATACAATTCTACTGCATTTTTTGTTCAAATTTAAATTTAAATATAATTTTTAAAATTTTGGTTTTGATTATGCAGTTCGTGGATTCCGTGCTGCTGCGGTATATTTAAATGTTGCTTTCCACTGTTTGAGCCTAGGCCTCCTCCACCACCATAGTGGTATATTTTCTTAGGAGCCTACTTTGCATGAATTATTTTGTGTAATTGGTTGACTTAAATCTTTACTTGATCTAACTATTCCAATTTGGCTAATTTGGTTTTTAATTTTTTATTATATTGGAGTTGAATTTGGTATTTTGGGTATGCTATCTTTGGATGCTTAGAAAGATCGTAATTTACTTTTGTCTTTGATTTTTCACTAATGGGATGTTGTGATGGGGTTTAGTAATTTTCAGTATTCTTCAATTATTTTGAATTTGCAAAATCAAATAACTCATGGAAATAAATTAATATTTCATTAATCTGTATGTAAGAGGACTTTACAATATGTCAAAGTTTAGACCGACAACAATGAATGGCAAACTTAGGATTAATGCCTCTATTAATTTGATGTTTTCTTATGGTCGAGAAATATACACAACTGTCTTATTTATTGGACAACATCATTCATCCTCTATATTTAATATTAATTGCTTTTCTTAGTCTATTTTTCCTTCAATCTTTCCTGCTCCATAATCTCATTTGGTTTTCGATTTGTGAAATGTTTTGGAAGTGGGAGTGTGTGAAATGTGTTGATGCTGATGATGGTACCGAATTTGGTGACACTCCTTTACTAGCAGAGCAGGTAACAGAGCTTCTTCCAACTCAAATTTAATGATTCAAGCTGCCTAAGATTTGCATAACATTCCCAAGTTGTAGTCGATGTGCCTAAGTGGTTGAGTGCTTGACTAATGAATGTAACCACTAAGATGTGGATTCTTTTTGGGGGGTTAGAAATAACATTTCTAATTTCGGATTTATGGGTTTGAATTTTTGTCGAGTATGTGATTCTGTGTTCTGTGTGTATCGATTGACTGATGAAAAAATGTAGCCATAAAATATTGATTTTGACAATTTTGATTCTGAGATTGCCTCTTTATATAATGTACAATTTTTGTAGTTGCCTTCAATTCAATGTTATTGTCATTGGCTCGGGTGCTCAAAAGATGTATACAATGTCGTTTTGCCTCATATTTGGCTATGAAACTCTTTGATGCTCTATTGTCAATATAAAGAACCCCCTTGTATACAAAATCGAAACTGCCAACACCAATCAAATTAGCTGAAGAAAACCGATCAATGGCTTTTGAGAAAGTAGCATATGACATTTGCAAAGCAGAGCAAGTCCGAATACTAGAGGGATTATTAATTTCCAGCAATGAGTCTTCTTTTCTTGAAGCTCTTTAGACTTGCAATTGGGCGCTTGAGATTAGGAATTTCCTTGCAGAATCTAGTGTTGTCAACAATTGAAATAGCACTTTGATTTTCGAATTCACCTTACACTGATAGTGGTCAAGTCTGATAGGAAACTCAACTCACCATCTTTACAGTTTCCAAGATGATTTTATTGAATGTTGAGGGTCTTGAGGTTATGAATCTTTCAAAAATTTGGAATCTGTCAATGTGAATATTCAACAATTTCGTGGCACGAACTAGACTTTAATCTATATGAATGTTACACATAAATACCAAGTACAAGAAGTAGCAATACACCCTTCAATGTTACACATAAATACCAAGTACAAGAAGTAGTAATACACTCTTCACACAATGAACCACATTGGTCATTATTTACATTGCAAACTTCCACACCTATTGTTGTAACAAAAAAGCTGGACTTCACAGGTAGTACACGAAATTTCTCTATCACAAAAGCACATAAAAAAGAGTTTCTATCCAAGAAAAATATTCCTAATGGAATGAAGTTCACATGCAGCATCATTGATATTCTTTGGTCGATCTGTTGCGGCTTCAGCTGAACAAGCAATTCCAATTGTAAATATTGAACTCAAGCACACCCCAACTTTATGAATTCTCGCACGGCGTTGATTGGGATTCTCGTTCGTGCCTCCTTGAAGAAGTGGTGCGTCTGCAATCTCAGTAACTCGCCCGGGGAGAGACATCTTGACAAAATTATGAAGGTTCAAACTATCACCAAACATGTTGTCAGTGGGTCTCTTCCCTGTAAACATCTCCAACAAGAGAATGCCAAAGCTGTAGACATCACCACTCGTTGACACCTCACTCCCAATGCCATACTCTACAATTCAAACATCACATTTGTGTATAAATAGTTCAGTTTGAATTTTGTAAATTAAATACTCCAAAATAAAAATGGAAATATAATGAAGTATATATCTAACGTATATATACCTGGAGCTGCATAACCAACCGTTCCTCTTATTCCAACGGAACTTGTCTGACTCTGAATTGCTGAAACATTACTCATTACTTGTGAGAGAAACCTTGCTAATCCAAAGTCAGAAACATGGCCAGTCAATTCGTTGTCCAAGAGAACGTTGCTTGGCTTGAGATCACAATGAACTATAGGCGTTTCACAATGATTATGAAGATAATCCAGTGCACAAGCAACACCAATGGCAATTTCTAGCCTCTGTAGAAGACTTACCTTCTTGGGTACATGATCTCTTAACTCTTCAGTTCCATTAGGTGGATGCAGCCACTCCTCTAAGCTCCCATTGTCCATGTACTCATAAACTAGAGCCTTGAAATCATTACCATGAAAATCAACACTTGAACACACGGTTATAATCTTGACGAGATTTCGGTGCCTAATATTTCTCAAAGCTTCACATTCGGCTATGAAACTCCTCGAAGCTCCATGGCGTAACAAGTTAAACACCTTCACGGCAACAAGTTGAGCTTTATCATCCTCATCAAGAACTCCTTTGTACACAGACCCAAAACTACCAGCACCAATTAAATTAGCCACTGAGAACCCGTCAGTAGCTTTGAGTAGAGTAGCATATGACACTTGCAAAATAGTGTTCCCCAAAGTGCTCAATGAAATTTCTTTCCTTTTCTTCCTTGACGAACAAAGAAAGAAATAGGAGAACACAATGGCTATTCCTAGAAGAGTAAGTCCAAATACTAAAGGGAGTATTAGTTTCAAGTGACGAGACAATCTTCGTTTCTTGGTCTCTTTAGATTTGCACTTGGGAAGCTTTAAATTAGCAACAAGGCTGCACAGATTAGCGTTGCCAACAACTGAAATAGCACTCGCATTTTTGAAAACACCTCCAGTTGGTACCACTCCCCAAAATTGATTGAAGGATAAGTTCAGATTATTCAGGAGTCTAAAGCCTTCTAAAAAATGCGGAATTTCATCTAAAAAATTATTGCGAGAAAGGTCTAGATCTTGAATCCCTCTCACTGAACTCATAGACAAAGGAATGGATCCATTGAAGAAGTTTCCTTGCAAATGCAGGACTTCTAAACTCTCACAACCACCAAGGCTACTGGGGAGTTCTCCAGATAACATGTTATCAGAAACGTCCAATTCACTTAGACTTTGTAAATTCCCAACCTCCGAGGGAAGGGAACCTGTGAAGAGGTTATTAGACAAGTCCAAATAAATTGATAAGGAGGAGAGTCTAAAAACTTGTTTGGGTATTGTGCCATTAAGAAGGTTATAAGAAAGATTCAACAATTGCAACCCATGGCATTCCCCCAGACGTGAAGGAATGCTGCCCTCAAGATGATTTCTATCCAACCTAAGATGGTATAACTTGGTTAAATTTATTAAGGAAGACGGAATATTTCCTGATAATTTGTTCATGAAAATTTCTAATCTTCCAAGGTTTGAAAGCTTACCCATGTCAGAGGGGATGTTACCTGTGAAGCTATTATTCCCCAAATACAACCCTTCCAAGCTCACCAGATTCCCTATCCCAGATGGGATACTTCCATATATTTGGTTATTGCCACCCCAAAACAATTCAAGTTTGGTTGAGAGATTGGATATTGACATGGGCAATGTCCCTCCAAAATTGTTATCGTCAATGCACAACGATTGTAACTGGGTGGCATTGGTCAAGTCCGAGAGAAAACTTAAGTCACCTTCTTTACCGCTTCCAATATTATTATGTTGAATGTTGACATGCAGGAGGTTGTGAAGCTTTTGGAGATTCGGTACCCGTCCGATTAGGTTGTTATTCCCAACAGCCAATAACCAAACACTTGTGACATTGAATATTGAGGGAGGTATGGACCCAGTGAGTTGGTTTGAGTTGAAGTTGAAGATTTCGAGATTAGGAAGACTTTTGCCAATATCTGATGGAATGCTCCCTTCAATTTGGTTAATTAGTATGGAAAATATAACAAGAGAAGAGAGGTTATAAATGGAGGAAGGAATGCTACCAGACAACTGATTTATGCCCAATCCCAAGAAGGTTAATTTTTTCAATTGGCCAAGAGAACTGGGGATGTTTCCCATCAAGTTGTTACCAAAAAGAGTTAGTCTCTGGAGAGACGAAAGGTTCCCTAAGGAAGGAGGGACCTGTCCCGTTAGATTATTATAATTTAATGAAAAATGTTGCAGCTTCGACAGCAATCCAATTTCTGAAGGAATTTTACCCACCAACATGTTGCGAGTGAAAGCCACATGGATAAGGTTGAAGCAATATGATATATTGCGTGGAATACTGCCACTAAACGAGTTACCGCCTAATCGCAATACTTGCAATCTACGCAAATTCCCAATTTGTGGAGGAATTTCCCCACTGAAGCTGTTGTTTAGCAGCCACAGCTCCCTTAGAAAACTTAGATTTCCAATGTTTGGGGATAGTTTCCCTACCAGATTTTGAGATTGAAGGTCCAGGGTAGTGACCCTTTGGCGATGTCGTCGACTGCACGTCACACCATGCCACATGCAAAAGTGCATGGATTCGTTCCAGGAGCTCATCACATTGTAATTATGGAGATCTTGCTTTATTTGAGCTTTGATGGCAAGCAGCGCCAGCCTATCCGTCGCATTCCCTCCGAGTCCCGATTGCAGGGAGCTCCAACAGCAAACGAACACTGCACTGAAAAGCAAGTATATTAAGATCAATTTCACAACCAAAACCCCCATTCCTGAGCTGCTTAACTATATAACTAGAGAGAGAAGCAGAAAGAAAGAGAGAGATGGGTGTTGAGTTGTGAAAGTGGTGAGTTCCATTTGTTGCATGAGAAGACAATTCATAGAAGAAATAGCATCATAGGAGGAACTTACACCACAGTTTCTGGTTCTTGAAAATTCAAACATGAGAAGGGAAAAGTCCTTATCATGCGCTGTGATTAATTGACCTTTATCTCACTTTAGCTAGATAAAGTGATAAATGATAACCAATTTGACTGCTTTTTTAGAAGACTTCAGTAGCTTACACCACAGTTTCTGGTTCTTGAAAATTCAAACATGAGAAGGGAAAAGTCCTTATCATGCGCTGTGATTAATTGACCTTTATCTCACTTTAGCTAGATAAAGTGATAAATGATAACCACTTTGACTGCTTTTTTAGAAGACTTCAGTAGCTTACTTCCACTACTGGGAACTATTATTGGGCACTTTCAGTGAAAAGCAAGGACCAAGATGATTAATGCACCTTTATCCCAGAAGCTGAGTGGAAACAATTTGGCAGCCATCCATAATATCCTTATCATGCGCTGTGATTCGGATTGTAACTTAATATGAAAGTTACACTTCCAGGACGACCCTGGTTATGAATGAAAATATTTAAGTTTCTATGTTTTCTGCGGGGTCAGACTGTGAGATTGCTGATTTTCTCGTAGTTCCCTAAAGTATCATTGCAAGAAAGCTTGTTGTGAATGCAATCTTTTTTAAAAAATGAGCTTTAATGAAAAGGGTTTAGACCAACTTTTTTTTTACCGAAAACTATGCACAACTTTTATTTAATAAAAGTGTTTGAGATTTAATGAAAATGACAAAAGTAATATACAACAGGCCAAAAAAGAAAAAAATCCCACGGGCTGAGGCAAAGCCCAACATGCAATATCAAATCTTTCTTCCAACTTTGCCCCTAACAGAAATTAACCAAAATCTATTAACACAACTTTTTATTATTTACGAAATTGTCATTGAGCTCAAAAAGTCAAATAAAACCAAAACTAATTTAATTTTTATTTATTTTTTCTAAATCAACGTTGCAACCATTCCACTAATAAAAACCCCATATCATGACAGAATCTTTATTCCCAATTTGATAATATTATTTTGATATTCGCACTAAAGCAGGCAACCCACTTTTGTTCTTGAAAATAACTAGAACAAAATAACCATTCACTAGACCCCATAGTTTTGTAATCAACTTTTTTTATTTACATATCGTGTTTAACATTCTTTAAGAATAAAAATTGCTATGTTTTTTCTTCCAAATCTTTATTCACCCTTGACCCGACAAAAATAATAATTTCGTAATAACTCAATAGCTTAAAAGTATTCAAACGGCTAATTTCAGTGATGTCTTCCAGAGACAATTTAAAAACTAATCAACTAGTAAAAAAACATATCAAATTAAATGACATCAACACAAGTTTTATGCAAAACAACTATGAAGCGCAGGTACTTCCTGCAATTTGCAACCACTAGATCAATTCCAACCATTTCTAACACAAAAAACTATTATGGTTGCAAGCAACCATTTCTTATTTGACAATTTGAAAAACTTTTACATACACCGTACTTTTATCCAAAAGTGTTACATCACTTTAAGCTAGGGGTGTGATATCCACACACCCTATTTTACTTCTTACAAACCTTTTAATTTGGATGAATTGAAAAAGATCAACATACAGAAATTATCAAAGAGTGTATGAGAAGTAAAATAGGGTGTTTGGATAGCAACCCCTAAAGCATAACTTTGATTTGGGGGTTTTTATAAGCTTAGGATGTTTTCTATATCGAAAATAGAGACATGAGATAGTTCCAGCTTAAATCATGCCCTCTCTCTCTCAATCTAAAATAGAGACATGATTCGGAATTAACATCGCAAATATTGTTTTTTTTTTTTTTTGTCAAAGGTAAATTTTACTCAACTAGATACGAATAGGAATGTTTACATATTCAGCTAGAATATTAAATAAAAACTCTGGCCCATGGGCATCCCAACAGAAGGAGCCTCTCATTAAGGTTACATGTAAGGCCACAGCATGAGCCGCAGCATTTCCCTTCCGCTTAACAAACACGAAACTCACCCTGCCAACTTGCGACGCCAAGGCCCTAATATCATAGAGTAAGCATTCTAGTGTTGCATCAATGACATACTCACCGTTAAGCATGCTAATAAGCCCCTGTGAATCAGACTCAATTTCCACCTCCGCAAAACCCCGCTCCCTGCAAACCATTAAAGCTGCACGCACAGCACTAGCCTCAGCCATGGCCGCCTTATTGAAAAAAAGACCCCCTTCCCCGCCAGCCGCAAGAAACATTCCAGCGAAATCTCGCACCACCCATCCATAGCCTCCTCAGAGTGTTGATGCACACCAGGCGCCGTCACAATTAACCTTGATTACCCCGAATTTGGGGCTTTTCCACCGAACAGGATGTCCCGCGTAGGAGACAGCCTCCCCCATAACCCCCACGATAGCAGACATTTTGGCAGGGTCATGGGATGCCCTATACTCCATAATCTGACTTCGCACCACATTCACGCTTTCCATGGGATTGGCTTCCGTGCCCTTAAACAGCAGATCGTTGCGACATTTCCAGATTCTCCACATAATGAACACGCATTCCTGCAATATTAGTTCATGGTTCTTCTCCTTCCGGAATCGATTACACAAACTGTACCAACAGTCTCCAAAATCCTTCCTCGTGGCAAGCTTGATATCCAGTTGCAGGGGACAGCTAAACCAAAATACCCTGCTAAATTCACACTCAAAGAAGAGGTGATGCTCAGTTTCCTTAGCATCCCCACACAAAACACAGGTCGTGTTCACTCTCATTCTTCTTCGGTGAAGGTTACCCCTGGCCGCCAAGGAGGACGTGCAGCATCGCCAAATGAAATACTTCATTTTATTTGGAACCTTCAGTCTCCAAATCTCCATCCAACATTTGTCTGGTTCGTCCCTCCGACTACAACCCCTGGTTCTTTTCCGCCCTAGTTCACAATTTTCCTGCATTTCCATTACAATACCATAGCCGGTCTTTACCGTGTAGTCGCCATTGCTGGTATGGTGCCATATAATTCTATCATTGCAACCCTCCAGGCTAGTTGGGATGCCAAGGATAATATTACTCTCCTCCTCCTCAAAGCACCCCTTAACTAAATCGACCATCCAAGAGCCCGTCACAGGATTGATTAGATCCTTTACCATCACCGGCATATCCAGGTGTTTTGAAATAACTCGAAAGGTATGAGGTCTTGGAAGCCAAGGGTCATATTTCACCCGAATGCTGCTCCCATCACCAACCCTCCATCTTCTCCCTCTTTCCAAGATCTTTTTGCCTTGCATAATTCCTTTCCACCCCCACGTTGATCTTTTCCCCACCTTTGCCTCCATGAAAGAGCATTCAGGAAAGTATTTTTCTTTAAGAATCTTGCTAAGCAAGCTAAGAGGGTTGGTTAGAATCCTCCATCCAATCTTGGCAAGGTAAGCCAGATTAAAGGATAGAAGGTCCCGAAAACCCAGCCCTCCCACTTTCTTTCTTCTCTTCATTTTTTCCCAGCTAATCCAATGCATCCCATTTTTCTCCCTACTGCCCCGCCACCAGAAATTCGCAATATTTGATTCCATTTCTTTGCAGAGGTTCACTGGAAGTTTAAAGCACGACATCGCATAATTTGGTAAAGCTATTGCCACAGCTTTAATCATCACTTCCTTCCCAGCTGGAGATAAGAATTGTTCCGCCCATCCATTTATTCTTCCATCTAGTGCCTCACGAACTCCTTCGAAAACAGCCTTCTTTGATGCACCAAAGTCTGCACTAAGGCCCAGGTACCTGCCGAAAGTCTCCTTTCCAACAAAGTTAGTACATGACTCAATCAACCTCCGTTGTTGCCGTGGACACTGGTTGCCAAAGTACAGGGAGCATTTCTCTCTATTAATGATTTGTCCAGAGGCAGCTGCGTAGCATTGCAACACTTCCAATATTCCTCTGACCTCCACCTCAGTTGCCTTACAGAAAATGACCGCATCATCTGCGAAGAATAAGTGGGAAATTTGCATCCCATCAGGCGTAACTCTTATCCCGTGTAGGTAGCCTTGCTCCTCCCTTTTTCGAAGCACTGCCGATAACCCCTCGGCACAAATTAGGAATAGAAAGGGGGACATGGGGTCTCCTTGTCGAAGGCCGCGTTTTGGTTGAATAAATCCAGTTGCAGAACCATTCAGGAGCACACTATAAGACACCGTAGTTATACACTCCTTAATTCTCTTGCAAAACTCATGAAGGAATCCCAGAGCACTCATCATTTCCAATAGAAAACTCCATTCAACCCGATCGTAAGCCTTTGCCATGTCAAGCTTCATGGCGACACATTTCTCCTCCCCGTTTTGTTGGTGATTCAGTGAGTGGAGAATCTCATGCACAACCAATATATTATCCTGGATTTGTCGGCCCGCCATAAAAGCCGATTGGTTTGCACTGATCAGATGTGGAAGGACATTTTTCATACGATTCGTGAGAATTTTGGCGATCACCTTATGCACCACATTACATAAGGAGATGGGCCGTAGCTGAGACATATTCCTCGGGCTGGATACTTTAGGGATAAGAACCAGATGTGTATGGTTTAATTTCCTTAACATTTTTCCGGAGATCCAAAAGGCCTGGACCATAGCGACAATATCACTGCCAACCACGTCCCAGAATTCATGATAAAAACTACCTGTGAAACCATCCGGCCCCGGAGCCTTGTCCGTCGGGATTTGGAACATAGAGAGTCTCACTTCTTCCTCCATTATCGTTTGCATTAGCCTTGAGCATTTTCCGGTAAGATCCGAGCTCCCACACATTCCGTAATTCCCTGAGTACCTCGTGGTTTACAGGTGCTGAAGAGGTTCCTGAAATAACTCACTGCTATCTCATCCACCTCGCTAGGTCCCGTGCACCAATTTCCATGCTCATCCTCCAACCCCACAATTTTATTGCACCTGCGTCGCTTCATAGCTTGAGCATGAAAAAACTTAGTATTCTTATCCCCCTCTTTCATCCATTGGTTCCTGGATTTGAGCTTCCAATATCTTTCTTCCTCCCTAAGTAAGTGTTTAAGTTCCCCCTCCATGTTCCGAACAGCCTCACTAGCAAACTTGTCCGACTTGTAGGTGTTCCTCAGGTCATTTTTCAGAGTTGCAATCCGAAGTTTTGAGTTTCTTCCACTTGCTTTACTCCATTTTTGCAGCCCTTTGCGAACCCATTTCAATTTCTCCACCACTCTAAATGCTTTGGATCCCACAAAATTATACTTCCAGTTTTTTTCCACGATACCGTGGCAATCCTTTTCCCTATTCCATCGGGAATCGTAGATAAACCGTTTCCTCCTTTTAAAAGGAGTGGAATCAGTGTCCAAAATTAGCATAGCATGGTCAGAGCCTTCCAAAACTTCATGCAGAATTTTAGCCTCCGGGTAGGCCGAGACCCATCATCCCGAAGCTAATCCCCGATCAAGCCTTTGTTGGATGGGTCCCTCATCTCTTCGGTTCCGCCAGGTAAAGGGGTAGCCTGTAAAACCTAAATCAAGCAGCTCATTGCCAGAAACGAAGTCACGAAAGTCTTTCCTGCTTGCCACAGATCGGTAGTTCCCTCATTCCTTCTCAGAGTCATCCAGAATATCATTAAAGTCTCCAATGACAATGCATTTCACCTCCGCTACCCCCAACCGTTGAGATAAAATGCGCCACTGGTCCCTTCTTTTCTTGTCGTCCGTACTTGCATAAACCGCAAACAATCTCCACTCCTCATCTTTGAGCTTATCACTGATACCTACCTCAATGAAAAACGCCGAGTATTTGACAAGCATCACCAGGTCGTAGTTTCTCCAGAAGATACACATACCTCCCACAATGCCTCTTGGTTCAACCGCGTGCATGAAATCCATCCCAAGTCGCTTCTTCAGGAAAACATAGCGATTACTCCGATTTTTTGTTTCTAGGAGTATCACTATGTCAGGGGTGTGGAGTTTGTTTTGCTCCATTAAATTGTCAACTGTCAGGTCACCCCCGATACCCTAACAGTTCCAGCAGATTATCTTCATGGATTCCTGGGAGACACTTCACGGCTGGTCTCCTCCGCCTCCGAAAGCACAATCAATCTTTGTTTTCTACCTTTTGGTTCCCAAAGCTCCCCTGTATCCTTCTGCTCCACATCTGGAAACTGCCTTTTTTTCCCTTTTGTTTCCCTCATTACAGCTTCTATAATTGGGTTTAGCTCAAAGGGGTCGTCCTCCATAGTCCCCTTATCCATAATCTCCTCAATCTCGATGCCCTGTTGGTTCTGCCTTCCCCTTCCGTTCACCGCATGTCCTTCAGTAGTATCTGCATTTTGCAGTTCCACATTTAAGTCAATGCCTATGCCCGTTTCTTTTGGTTTGTTAGCCTCGTATTGTCTGTCCTCCAGTTCAGGAAGTTCTTTCAGAATAATGTGCCTTGCCTCCTCCGCCATCACTCCCCCCGGTCCTATTAGTCTTGCATCGAAAGCGGCCTCTCGTGCCCTTCTTGCTTCCTCGGCCCTCATTTTTTGGCATTGAATTTCCCCAGCTAGCGATTTACCCCCACTCCCTTTTAGAGTCGAGGAGGCTCGCGGTTTACTTGGCGAGGATACCGTATCAACCACCTCTTCTTCCCCCCGAGCTACACTTTCCTCGCTACTGAGGAAGCTCCGGTCTCTAGTTTATGCCAGATCTCCTGTGCCTGAATCCAAAGATGAGCGAGAGTTTCTTCGGTTCCCATCTCCGTCGTCGATCCGCTCTCTCCTCCATCTTCCTTCGCTTTTCCTCCCGCCATTAGACCCAACGGAAGCTTTACTGCGTGAGTTAGATCCCAAAGGTTTCCCTCAGATATCAGTTTCTGCTTCCAACCCACGGTATGCAGGGGTATCATCGATATCCCCCTTACCATCCCCATCTGTTCTTCGATCCAACTGCAGTTCCTTGCAAACCCAGGTAGCATGTCCCAGTATTCCACAAATGAGACAGTATCTTGGTAGGAATTCATATTTGAAATCCACCCATACAGTTCCTTCATTTCACAAAGGTCCCTCGCATGAGAGGTTCCCGCATATTGAAGCAATTGTTGATGCCACATCTTTTGTTGAGAAGTCATGAAACAAAAGACATGTTTGAACAAAGTTATTTCTATATGATTATATCAGTTTTAAGATTACCCACTACCCAATATTTGAACAGTCAATGCTTGGATAAATAGTAGAAGACACGTGCATGAGGCAGCACAGAGGAAAATCCTTCTCGCTTCTTCCATGCTCTGGGTTCGCAACCTCTGCCGCTTCCAGCTCCAAACTCGGATCCGAAGGCCTCATGCGTATATTCGCTCACACTTCTCTCTTATTTCTCTGCTAATCATTCCAAATTTCATTTTTGTGTCGAATTTTAAATTTTGAAATCAGGGTAGATTACAACCATGTGTTACGTTGGTGTCACCTAATATGGTGTTTATAGAAGGACATGATCATAGGAGGAATACTGCCACTAAACCATGTGTTTCTCACATCAGATGTTACGTTGATATCACCTAATATGAAAGTTACCCTAGGATCATAGGAGGAATACTGCCACTAAACGACAAGGAAATTTATAGAAGGATAGGATCATAGGAAGAACTTGCACCGCAGTTTCTGGTTCTTGAAAATTCAAATATGATAACCACTTCGGCTTGTTTTTTAGACGACTTCACTAGGTTACTTCCACTACTGCGACCAAGACCATTAAAGCACCTTGAGTCCAGAAGCTGACTGGAAACATTTTGGCAACCATACATAATAGCATTATCATCCATAATTCATTTTGGCAATCATCCAAAGTGGAAAAACAAATACATAGAGCTTAATATTTTCTCACATCAGACGTCACGTTGGTGTCATCTAATATGACAGCTACCCTAGCAGGGCGACCCTAGCTATGAATAGAAATTTTGAAGTCTGTATGTTTTCTGAGGGGCTGGACTATGAGATTGCTGATTTTCTCATAGTTCCCCTTAAGTATCATTGCAAAAAAGCTTGTTGTGGATGCAACCTTTTAAAAAATGGTAACAATTACTAGTGAGATCAAGTTTTCTTAATTTTTAAACTTCATGGGGGCTCAAGTCTCTAGCAAGAGAATTCCACGACTGTAGGCATATCCAGTTATTAACACCTCACGTCCCAAATATTGTTAGCAAATTGAGAACAAAATAGTTGAATTATGCAACAAGTTTAAAAGAAAAAAAAAAGAGATTGTGGAGAGGATGTGAATATTTACCTAAAACCATGTAACCAATCGTTCTTGTTATTCCAGCAGAACTTGTCTATTTTGTTAAATCTTTTATACTGTTCAGTTGTGAGAGAAACCTTGCTAGTCAAAGTCAGAAACATGTCCAGTACTTGACTTGTTGTACAAAAGAACAGTACTTGGCTTCAGATCACAATAAACTATTGGTGTTTCACAGTGATTATGAAGATCAAGGTTCTAAAAATCGCTAGGCGCTAGTCGGGCGGCGGGCTGGGGCCTAGCGCCTAGGCAGCTAGGCGGGCGCCTAGGCGGACTAGGCGGATTTAAGTAAATCTATCATATTTCATGTAATTAAGTGTCTGCTTCTACTTGAAATATATATAATTTCATCATAAACTACAAAATACAATGCATATATATCATGAAGTATTGGAACATAATGAAAACATGTGAAATAAGGATATAATGTTTGTTCATTCAAGTATGCAACAAGTCTCTTACAATTTATTGGAAAAAAACAAAATGCAAAATGAAAGTTACGTATTTTCTGTCTAAGTGAGTTGCAACCTAGGCGGGGCTAGGCGGGTGCCTAGGTGGTCTAGGCGGTGGGCTGGGGCCTAGCGCCTAGGAGGGGGCCTAGGCGGAGCTAGGCGAGGATTTTTAGAACAATGATGAAGATAATCGACTAATCAAGAGCACAAGCAACATCAATGGAAATGCTGAGCCTTTGCAAAAGATTTAAACTCTTGGGTGCCTCTCTTGCTTCTTCAATGTCACTCGGTGGATGTAGTCACTTCTCTAAGCTTGCTTTTTCCATGTACTCATAAACCAAAGCCTTGAAATCATTACCAAGAGAATCAACACTTGAACATGCAGTTATAATCTTGACGAGATTTCGATGCTTCATATTTCTCAAAGCCTCACATCCAGATATAAAACACTTTGCTGCTCCATGGCGTGACAAGTTAAACACCTTTACGGCGGCAACCATTTGAGCTCTATCATCAACATTGAGAACTCCCTTGTACACAACCCCAAAACTTCCAGCACCAATCAAATTAGCCTCAGATAACCCATCAGTAGCTCTTAGCAGAGTAGCATATGAAACTTGCAAATAAGAGTTTGTTATTGTACTTGACGAAATTTCTTTCCTTTCCTTTCTTGACGAACAAAGAAAGAAATACGACAAAACACTAAAGGGGATTATTTAATGTCAAGTTTCAAAATGATCCGCCCTTGTTAGACTTGAACTTTGCATTTGGAGATTGGCACTAACTCCGTAAAATTGTCTAGTTCTGTGTCACCCTTTAAAGTCCAACTTCACCAAAAACCAAAGTAATTCATACTTGTTTTTTCATCTAATTGTTATCCAATAAATAAATGAACTATGTTTTTCGGTTAAATACTGAAATTTTGACAATGTTAATTAAATGGTTAAACGATTATTTAGTTGATTTTTTTTCAAAGTTGGTCTCTAGAGGATGAACTAGAAAGTATACATGTGTCCGATCATCTTGCAACATTGCAGAATGAGAGAGAGAGCTGAGAAGGTAGAGTGCAAAGGTCCGATTGAGAGGATCCGTAACATCCCACATTCAACAAACTTCGGTATGGTGAGTAAATTGCGTGTTTGAGTAGTTCTATATGGCGAGTAAATTTCATAGTTATTGGTATGGGTTTCAACTGTTATGAATAGTAGAAAAGAGGTACAAAGGCAGTAAAAGAATGAAAAGAATAATGACAATGAGTAACATTGCTTGGTGAATACACAAGACTATTTTACCCAACAAAATACAAAAGAAAGAGAAAGAATACTTACTACAAGAATGAAGCATATGAATCAACATTCTATCAACTCTGAAATCTGTACATGTATGGTCAACTGCAAAGCTTAGCACATAGCTGCTGAGTCCGGGAGGGGCTGGAATCCGACAATGAATATGTTCCATTTCTACCATTGCTTACGCACGTTAAGTACAGCTGATTCCCTCTCTGGCTCGACTGAAAGATTGGTGCATATATGCATATATAAAGAACACTATGTCAGTACAAAACCAATTTATAGTACTAACAAAGTACGTTGCAGAAGCTATTTCCTGACACAGAATTTCACGAGTCATTTCTTAAATTACATTTCTTTAAGGCATTAGACTAAACGGCATGCTAAACTAGAACGACTAAATGCAACCATGATCATATTAATAAGCAAGCACTTTTGTCTATCAAATATTGAGGCGGAAGTTAATATGCGCAGAAAAGTACATCATATTATCAGACAATAAATATTTTGTGACTTGCAATTCCATTTTGATGTAGGGACACAGCTCAAATAATGACACCAGGAACAGTGGTTGTTTAGATTGACCCCTTGAAAAAGAGTAACCAAGCCAAGCTTATACCTGTCAAAAACATGACTTCTGTCAGAAAATGCCTGCATATACTGATACTACGCAAATACGAGGAAAATGAACCTTTATTTCCAATAACAAAACAACAAAAGTAGAAGCAACTACCAACAAAGTGATCAATTAGTATTACACAGAGAATAGCGATAACACAATGCCTTCTCCAAACCATGCTGATAAGAAACAAGCAGATACATAGCCTATTCGCAATGAAAATATTACAGGACACATGATATCTACATATCCACACAAAATCCAGTTCTCTGATTTGATAAAAAAAAAATGTGCACACGTCAACTGTGGCTACCAGATTCTCATGCAGGGAGTCGATTAGGTTCATTAAGTCAAACAGTTAAATCAGAGATTGAGGAGGAGCTTACCCAACAATCAATAGTATCAAAGAGAGGACCCACAATACATATTGATACGTTTTGTGTTTAGATTTAACTGGAGTAGTAACATGTCCAGGGGGAGCATTCCGTTGGGTAAGCCATTTAAACTGGGGGTGGATCAAAAACAAAAATCCAAGAAGAAATCCGGAGACAAATCCTCCAATATGAGCAAAGTTGTCCACGTGTGGTAGAATTCCCACTGCTAAGTTTATTATGATGATGAAAAGGAGAGTAAGCAATGCTGCTAACTGCAGATCGAAATCTGAAACTGTAAGATCAAAGGGTCGTGCACATACTATAAAGAGGTGCATCATTGAGTATACAGAATTTTATTTACCTTATTTACATACATTGTCCAATTTGATGTGAGCTCTGAAAGCATGCTTCCTAGTAAACCAAAAAGTGCACCAGAAGCACCAACAGAAATACCATATTGAATAAAAAGAGCTGAAAGCAAACTCCCACCAAAACCAGACATGAGATATAGGAAACCAATTTGAACTGCCGAAGAACAAATCAGAAAAACATTAGAATTTCAAACTAACTAGTTAAAACAGTTCATCAAAACAACTGTACATGATGTAGATCAGCATCAAACTATTATTTTTTTCAATCTTTTCAAATAGACGGCATCTTGAAACATTTCAAAATGAGGCGCCATGTCTACATGTACAGGATTTCGAAAACAATCTTTGTTCCCACAGATGTGGTGGAAAACTGAAATAGTCTCTCAGCTTCTGTTTCAAGCAATTTTATTCTGTAAAATGGAATACTATGTCTAAAACTAAAGTTTGAACCCCATCTTCGGTGTATAAACTCTTTTCTTTGCTCACCGCTGAATAAAACGTCCTCTTGTTTCCATCAAACCAAACAACATACCAGTGTAAGTTATAATGCAACCAGCACTACATGGCCACTACTCTAAGGTTACAATTCAATAAATAAATGCATAGAAATCCTCTGTAGATTAACCGCAAGGTAGCTAAAGCCATCCGGAAAGTGTTTCTCTTCTAGATTTATGAAAGAAGTTTTGCAGTTGGTAACTAATTTATTATTCTACAACTTATGCCATGTGATTTATCTTTTACTACAAACACTTATGGATGTGGCCATACATGTATGATAACATACATGAAGCTAAAAATCCAGATGCACACCAAATCCAAATTCTTGCTCAAGCCGAATTCCAATGAATACAAGACTCAGCATATCGGCAAGCACATGGAAAACTCCAGCATGTAACCACATACATGAGATCAGCCGCCATCCCTGGTGTTGATGAACCACTCTCTGCGCGTCTAGATTACCCATCTTTTCTAACCTTCAGGATGAAAACACATGAGAAACAAGTTAGATATGCAACTGAGACCTATTGACCTTATTTCCAAACAGATGATAGCTCCCTCGCCCTTGTAGTGCTACTTTTAGCAGTTATAGACATAGGATGATGCATACTGAAATGAGCACATTAAACAGCTTAAAAGAATGACAAACAAGTCCTTTAAGAATGCACACCCGCTCTTACCAGAGATATTAAGACAAAACAATTTCCATGGTCATTCTACCATTGGCCTCACATACCAAGGAAAGTCGAACGAAAACGAGAATTTTGAAACCAAGTCGCTAAGAACACTTGTGTAAAACTTTAACCCTATAACATACTACAGGGGACATTTTGATTAACATAGCAATCTAATCAAACCAAGTAGTTAACTACTGCAGCTCTTCGATCACCTTTCTTCTTTGTTCAAGCATTTCCGATACGCCGACATCAAATAGACATCAAGCATGGCCTGAATGTCACGAAATACCTAAAACCCTCATTACCCCTCAAGCTTACACAGTTCAACTAATCGTAGATTCGCTTGTATATTCACTAGGTTTCCCAAGTCCAACATTGATTAAAAGCAGAATTACAGCAAGCTTCATGCAGTTCAACTATTTTCTTTACACATATATCTAATATAACCAAAATTCCAAATCCACCAAGTCATAAAATTTGCCAAAAAATTTGTAAAAACATAACTTTCACAATTACTCTTACCTAAAAAGGTCTCAACCTTGATTGATCCCACTCTAATTTCACAAAACAAATAAAACCAGTCCAAATATCCAACCCTCCTCATCATAATTTCTCCAAAAACACACAAACGAAAGCAACTTACATGAAATGGGACCGCCACTGCATCAGTTCCCCACAATCCACAACTAAATTTTTCCAAATTTCCACATGCGAGCACCCAACAAATCCCAACACAAATTTCAATACAAAACTGCAAACCCCATCAATTTTAAACACAGAAACTAATAAAAGAGTGAAGCTTTACGTGGTTGAAGAAGGCCCAACAAGTGGGTTTTCCTTGAAGAGCCGAAAGGAGAGACGTTGAAATTTTCAACCCACCACGTGTCATTATCTATTAGTAATATTTGTTCAGATTTTTTATTAAGTGTGAACTTTGTTAGTTTTTTAGATATTTTTTGTTGTAAGTTTTTTCTAATTTTTTTTTTTTTTTTGCATTTTTTACCATGGGATTAATCCTACCCTTTAATTTTTCAATTTATCATATCAAATGCACCACAAAGTGCCATGTGGCACAACATCATCTTTTTAAATTTATTTTATCGTTTGAAATTTAATAGTCCGAATCAACAAACTTTTGAAAATCCAACAGTTGTGGGACATCCAAATTGGGGCTAGCCTTCTGCTACTTGACGTCAGGGCCGTCGTTCCTTATTACCAACGGGCTGCAAGGGTAGTTCAACGAGCTCCTTGGAGCCCACCAATTGGTTTGGCACCGATGGACCATCATTTTTTTGGTCAAGGGCAATTTAACCCAATTGCCTGGTGGATTGGCAAGAATTATGATGAGCATGGTAGAATTTTCAGCAATTGAGTATACACCTAAAATAGTCAAGAAGAAGCTGTATTGTGTCTTTTGCTTGAACTTATAATTTATACAAAGTTTTGCCTAGAATAATGTTATATTGTCAGACAATTTTAAATGCAACATTGTCAAAACAATTTTTGGACCAACGGACTAGTTAATTTTAAGATCAATTTAGAGCGACCCCTCATAAAGCTTTACTAATAGTTGTACTTTTGTTCTGGGGGCTAGCTACATGCACAGTAGAAAAGCTACCATATTTGGAGTCAAGATCCTCTCCGGATTTTTGTTTTCGAAGTTCAAGAACTTGGATATCCAGGTAGTTAAAGAGAGGAAGACCTGAACTCGTGGTTTGTGTGAGAAAGGTCAGTAGAATGAGCTAATGAGAACCATATGATTTAAAATGAGTGATTTGGATCTCTATGTTTGTCGACTTCGGACACAGAGATTCGGAGAAGGTCTCCCCTATTTGGTGCAGTTCATTTAACGGCGAGCTTCATTGAATCACAATAATATGCAGGGGTACAAAATGATTGAAAGGAGCCCTCCTAAATTGGCCTTTTACCCAAATTATATGAGGGTGGTGGTGGTGGTTAGAATTCAATTAAACCCCACACGTTTTGGAGGTTTTCATTTAATCTTGCAAACATACATACTTAAGCAAAATATATCCCACTAAAAATAAGTATCTTTAGTTTTGGTAAGACGATATTATAAGCTATAACTTACGAGAGAAGAATTTAAATTTGAATATAAGAACGCGATAGATACAATGCCTTACCAACCAACCTAATCTACATTTATGGAGTAAATATATGTATAGACGCAAACAAAATCATGAACATTGTAATGCTCAAGTTGGCATGCATTATCTCATCAAAAACCTTACTATTTGGTTGGACATAGGGACCATAATTTTTTCAAGGGAATTTTTTTGAAATGTCATATGAACTTGTAGACCTTTTTCAATGTGTCATATAAACTAAAAATTTTAGCAATTTGTCATACCAACTTGCCGAAATTATCAATTTGTCATCTCATCCAAACTCCGTTAAGTTTTTCATCCAAAATAAGTCATGTGCCTCGCACATGACTTGTGTTCAGGTTATTTTTGTCATTTTAAGAACTTTTAACAAGTTTTTGCTCTTCTTTAGTAAAACCCTTCAAATTTGTGTTAGAGAGTATTCATGCGGATAGTCGTGTTCGTGTAGCGCATATGCATCTACAACTCCATTTCTGACACCAAACCTTAATCCGTTTTGTCATATTACATAGCCTATATAAAATTTGATTTCGTGACATGCTAAACTGAACACACCCACTTTTGTATCTTAACATATTTTGAGCAACCATAAGAGAATTCAACGCCTGATCATTTCATTGCTACTGTATCAATAATATTGTTTCATTGCTTGGTTATGTTAAAAAAAAAAAAATACCAAATACTAAGGGCTTAAAGTTCACAACATTGTCTTCACTCTTCATACAAAAAAAATTTGACATTAACAAAAAGTCTAAACTTCCAAATGATTTCCTTCAGATTCTATGGTTTTCAGGTGGCTTTCTTGAATTGTGCAGTGACTTGCCTCTTGCATTTTGTTTCACTCTACCCCTTTTAGAAACCTACAAACAATAAAAAAAAGAGGTATTCATCAATTTCCCCCCTGAACTTGTGACTATTGGCCAATTTCCCCCCTCAACTTTAATTTTGGCCAATTTCCCCCCTCAACTCTCATAATTAGTCAATTTCCCCCCTCAACTTTAATTTGGCCAATTTCCCCCTTCAGCTCTTATAATTAGTCAATTTGCACCCTACTGTTAATTTTTTAATTTGATCATAATTAAACAAGTGTGTATAAGAAACTAAATAAGATGTATGTTAATCATTTTCCTATGTCTTTATCCTATTACAAATAGATTAAAATTTAGAATTTTACAATTTATCATAGATAGTATTATTAGTCATAATAAATCAGTATGGAGTAATTTTATTTGATTTTTTACTACAAAAAATTGATAACGAAAAGGATTGATGTGTACATTTTTGTATGTGAATACAATTTTCTTTATAAAAGTGAAAGCTAAGTTCAAGTAAATTGCGGAGAATCGAGCTTTAGTTCAAAAATGGCTAGTCAATTCATAATTTTCGACTCCTTATTAAGAATAACCCATTTTATTGAAATAGATTTGATCCATGAGTTTAGGATTATTATTTCTTCTTCTACATGCTTTAAACCCGATTCATAACTTTTTCTTATAATCAACCCATATCACATACTAATTGTATTATGTTTTTGTACATTTTACCCTATATTATGCATGTGAGTTTTATGTTAATTTTAGTACTTTGTTGGAAGTTATTAGAAAGATTGAAAAAAAAAAGAATAGATGGAAAATTAAAAAAAATAACAGTAGGGTGCAAATTGACTAATTATGAGAGTTGAGGGGGGAAATTGGCCAAAATTAAAGTTGAGGGGGGAAATTGGCCAATGGTCACAAGTTCAGGGGGGAATTGGTGAATACCTCTAAAAAAAAAACCTGAAAAATTAACAGATGGCATTGGGTTATAAAAGCACACACGAGAAAGGGACAAAGACATAGGTCAAAAGAACTTGCATTAGATGCAGATTGTTCTTGTCCCTGATTTGGTGGAGTTTCACTTCCCATATTTCCTCCAGTGGCATGCTACAAAATGATCAATAAAGGAGTTACACATACATCCGTCTATAAATTATACATTATACATATACTAAAACCCAAACTCGGGTGCACTGTTTTTCACTATTAGTGAACAGTGAAATATCGGAAATGCCCTCCGATTTTTCTTATTTTTGCCGTGCTTTTCCTTATGTGTGCAGTGAATTCCAAGTTCTACCCATTCAGCCCAAAGGTCTTCTGTCGTTTCTTTCTCTCCTTCCGTTCATGTGTTTCACTTTACCTTTCTCCATTTTCTGCTTTAGGGCTTCTGCTTTCCTCGGTCATCGTCGTTGTGTGCCTTCATTTCTCTCGATTTCTTCCTTTTTGTTTCGCAATTTTATCTCCAGCGAGACACGATCTTTGATTTTTTGCAATCATTGTTCGCTGTTCTTCTCTGTTTTTGGCTGCGATCTGTGTGTTGCATCGATTTTGTCTTTTTCGCCGTTTTGTTTCAAGCCTCTCTTTTGAGAGGATCAGTGCATATTAAGGTTGGTGATTTTCAGATTTTTTTAGTTTTGCTTTCCAGTTTTATTTCATTTTTGGTTGTCTGACTATTATTACGATTGGGATTGATTTTGTTGGCAGATTTTCGCTCCAATTTGGGTGATCTCTCTTCTGAGAGAATCGGTGCATGTTGAGGTTGGTGATTTCCAGATTAACTATTACATTTTCTTCATTTAATTTTTTTCCTGCACATCTATACAAATACCAACGCTGACAACCAAATTAACTATTACATGCTATACCGAGATTATTTACCCAAATTTAGCCTTTTCATAGATGCAATTTTATGTTTGATTTTAAATTGGCTAAATATATTCAAACTATTTTTTAACAAGCATTTTTTCAATAATTTTTGAACACACAAATAAGATAGTCTTGAACACCATTGGTTCTTCGCTTTTCTTCATTGATCCAGATATTCCGGAAGTAAATTCATAAAATCAGTGTAAGTTTGTTTACAATTTATTTAAAAAAAAATGTTATATGCTCTTACAATACAAGAAAGGCTACTCTCACAAAATGTATCAACTAATGTGCTATTTTAAACTCTGCAGCTTTTCCAAATGCACAGAGCCTTTTAAAAATACTGCTACCCTCTACAAAACAAGCCAGTAAAGCTCAAATATTGCAGACAGCAAAGAAGGTAACAATTGAAGAGTTGGCTTTTTTAGATCCAAATTTGTACAAGGTATTAAATCTGTTTATCTTTTGTTAAAAATGTTGAATGCATGTTGACACATTTGGTTAAAAATATCTATATTATTAATCCTGCTTATACAAGTCTTTGTTAAATTGTTTTACAGAACGAAACCTTTCTCTGCAAAGAATCTGTCAAGCAGTTTGACGCACACTACGATTGGTGGTACAATGCTTGCCTAAACTGTGCCAAACAAATGCACAAAGATCGAACAATTGGGCAATTGATTTGTCAAAAACATGCAGACCAGCTACCAACTCCTTGGTAATTTTTAACATGTTATGATTAACTTTTATCACCAATTGCACAAAATATTTCTTGCATTTCTTCTTTTTTGCCAATGCCTCATGTTACAATTTACTGCCTACAATTAGTGGTGTTGTATTGATTTTTAAATCTCAATGTTATGCAATTAGAAATCCATTCCATCTTTTTGGTTAAAATTATTGTTGTCATAATGGTGTCTTTCATAGAAACAGTTTAATTATAGTTATATACAAATGACAAATCTATGGTTTCCACTTAAGTGGTATTGGAAAATTCTAAATTGATATTAGTCAATCAAAGTTTTCATCATATGATGGATTTAAAAATCTAGATTCTGCATTTGTCTTTCATTGCATATGTTAATTAATCAGGCTGTTCCTGGATCCAGGGGAGAAAACATTCAATGGAATAATTTCTTAGATGTATTGCCACATCCCCAAGGATTAGGTCCACTTTTTACAGGTCAGTGGAATATTTATGCTCAAAATCCCGATTCAAGTAGTCAATATATAAATGAAAAATATTAAATCAAAATAAATAGATGTAAACAATAGTGCTAAAAAACTAATTTCATTAAAAATATTTGACATTCATTATTTACTCAAATGGTTATCCACTATGTCAAATTATTTGTTCAAATTATTTTCTTCCGTAAGTTTTCATTCTTCTTTTTCACTTACTTCATATCAATTGATCTTCAAAATGTCTTGATCAGAAAGAGTAAACACTAAACAATTTTTCTTAACGTGTTTTCTTTGGCTTTGTTTAAGAAATATATCTTTGATGATCAATCTTATCTAATTTAAACTTTTATAAGCAGGTACAAACTAAACTTGGTCCTTGAGGACGAAACCAGTGAAATGAATGCTTTAATTATTGGCAAATCTGGTGAGAAGCTTTTGGGCACAACCTGCAGACATTTAGTTCGGGTTTACTCACATACTCTGGTGAGTTCTGCGTCTTTCTCAGTGTGCCTGAATTTTTATTTTTATTTTTATTTTATTTTTTTGTGGTTTTCGATTTACATATGAATTTTGTGTTTAAATTTTCCTTTTGTAATTTTGTCTGTGTGTTTGGATGCTGTGTATGGCTGTTTGATTTACTTCTCTTTTGCTTTCAGGGGGCGATTTCTAAAGTATATAGAGGCAAAGCTTTCTCCAAGACCCTCCATATGCAATATTCTTTGACATGGGTATTTATTTTTTGTTAGTTACTAATTTTAATTTTACTTACATTTGTGACCATTATTAAATTTTAATGATTTTTTTATAATTTATTTTTTAATTATTGAATTTGAATGAAAACCGCAAAATCTTCAATTGGGTTTTGATTTTTGAGAGGTATCTGAAATGGGGTTTTCTACTCTGCCTTCTGCTATTTGCTCCACCGCCGCAATAACTTTTGTGTTTTCTTCTATCCCGTAGAATCTACTCGATTTTAGATTGTCTGAGTCCTGCGATTTTGTGATAATCTTCCATGGTAAATGACTTTTGTTCGTCTCAGTTGGTCTAAATTTCAAATTTTCAGTTAGATTGTTTGTTTTGGTTTCGTTTTCTGCGCATGATATGAGCTTCAAATTGAGATAATTTTAATTTTTACTTAATGTGTTAATACTTCTATGCAGGTATTTCCTTTGTTTTGGGTGAGTCTCAATTGCCCAGTGCATATAGTTTGGTTCAATTTTCAGCTTCTTAAAAGGCTAAAGCATCTTTGTTTTTTACCACCCAATTGCTTATTTTCACCAAATTTATAGTTTCTTCTCTCTCCATATCTCTCCTCAACTGCATGGATGACAAGAGGAAGTACAAAGGGATGCATTTGGCTCCCACTTTTGAGGTTCCTCCCATGAGCAGGCACCCAAAAACTGGCGACTGGTGAGCACAAAAAAAAATTGATTTTTTTCTTTTCTTAATTTGATATAAAGTTTGGATTTTGAAGTGTGGGTTGGACTTAATTGTTCATTTAATTTGATGGGTTTGGTTTAAATGGAAAGACTCTGCTTTCATTAATGATAAAATATTGATTAAATTTGAAATAAGAAATTGGGTTACTCTTCTATACATTTTTTGTGACGATTTATTGAGAATTTGCTAATTGTTTTAATGCATATGAGATAGGGTTTCTGCTTTCTAGGGTTCGTTTCTAATCTTTAGAGACTGCTTGATTTGGTATTGTCAAATAGTATATGGATTTCCATGTTCATTGTATCGGTATGTTGTTGCGGTAGTTAATGGGATGCAATATAAGGTAAGGTGTTCACATGAAACCAGACACAGGGAGGTGTCCTCGATTCTCGGGATAAAGTCCTATAAATGATGAATCTTTGTACTTTTGAGTTTTGATTTAGGAGATTCGACCAGGGTCACATTCAATTCCTATTGAACGACAAAATCATGTTGGTGATTGTGAAAAAGGGATTGTTTCCGAAAAGCAAAGTAATGGATTAACAAATAAGATATGTTGGCTGATAATAGCTTACTGTTTTTAAATTATACATTACATTTCCTATTGAATCTTTCCTGATGACCTATCTAATCTTTCTTTTCCCAGAAATATTTTCATCATGTGTTGAAGCAACAAAAAGACTACGCAGTTGCATCGTGAAGTACACAGCTCACTTCTCCTATTAAATGTACCCCATTGTTCAGATCCTTGGCAGCAGGAATTCCCAGCCCAAAATTTTCTGAAAGTGTATGTGTCTCAGAAGTTCAACTCTATTAAACAATAAGCTATTAGTTTAATGATTGCCACCTGCTTTTGGCAGGTGAAAATTTGATGTCATCTTCAACTTTCCTCATCCAAGCCATTACTCTAGCCTACGCGAAAAGGACTTTGAGCTTATTGAGTAAGTCACTAATTATTAATTCAATTAACATCTGTTTTTGCATTCGTCACTTATTTAGCATAATTCATTTTAGTATTTAATTCATGGTGATTAAGGCCAAGTTAGTGATTAAGGCCAAATATTTACTAACTAATACGAAAACATTGTTTGGTTACAATTCAGGAAATTGACCCAAGTTCAAAACCCCTCTCCTCCAATTGCATAACACACAAGTTCCTCTTTCTTACAAACAATGAAGAATTGATTGTTATGTATGAACCAACCCTTTCTTTTTATTACAAACGATGTTGGGTAAGGGTAATCGAATTTGGGAATATAGAAAGTAAAAATGATTGCTTCTTTGTTCAAGCCTGAATAAAAACAAATAGGGTTATAATTAGGATAGCTTCTCTCACCACTTACATTTACGTTGCCACATTGATATTTTTGTACTCTATTATCTAATTATAAAAAATTTAGTGTATTTGTTTTATGGAGAGAATAAAGTTGCATAATTTTTCATACAGTTTTCCATCCCGCAGCAACGCGCGGGTACAATTTCTAGTACAAGACTAAAATTTAAAATACCGAAGTTTTCAATGAGCACACCATTGCTTTTGTTTGCCCACTTTAAGGAGTTGGTGAGTTATGGCCAATTTCATTTGTCCCACAAGTTTGTCCTCTCCCAGCTTCTCCATAGGCCTATGAGATGATATTCCCCAATTTATAACAACCATATGTGACTAAAAATGCAGATAAGTGAAACCATTAAGCTACTTTTACTTGTGAAGCTTGTCGTTGCCTCTTCCCGCATGTTGTACGATTATGACCTTTCTTGCCACACATTCCACAAGTGACCTTGCTGAAGCATTTAGGCAATTTGTTTAAGGTTGATGGTGGTTGTGGCTCATCTTGCTTTCTTCCCCTCACCTTCTTTGGCCTACCAGCTTGCTTATGATACTTTGGAGGTGCAACGGGTTGGTGATTTGTAGGTGGCCAAAATTCTCGGCTAGGCATGGCATGGATATAAGGAGTGTAGGCTCTCAAGGAATTCCAGTGAGCATACTTGTATGGATCGTCCTCTCTATAGATTGTGGCAACTCCATGAGCACAAGGAATTCCAGTGAGATCCCACCTTCTACATGTACATGTGTGTTTTGCTAAATCAACCGCATATTGTGCTCCACTCATATGCTTCACTTGATACTCCTTATCACCAGACAATCAAGCAATACATGAACCACTTTCTAATTTATTTATTTTCAACCAATTTAAATATTCTAGGGCCAACCTCATTTTTCCACTTACCTGCTGCTTCTCTCATTCTTGCCACTCTGACCATTAGTTATGTTGTAATCCTCTCCACCATAGTTAATATTGGTTTATCTCTTGCTCCCAATATTGCACTATTAAAAGACTCACATAGATTATTCAACAAGATATCACAATTAGATGATGTCCTAAAATAAGATCTGCTTCAATGACATGCTGGTTTGTCATCAAACCAACTTATAGCCAATCCATCTTCAACTTCCATCTTAGTCATCTCTGCTTTAAATCCTGGAATGCTGACCAAAGAATTTGTTTCAATGCAATGCCAACGTGTGTTTTCTTGAAATTGTTATATAAGCGTCGAACACAATGTACATGTTCAGCAGTTGGAATAAGGTCCTTCACAGCTTTTATTAACCCCTTTTGTTTGTCTGGCGTAAAGACCCAAGCATGCCCATTTTCAATACCCAAATCAGTGATGAGTAGCTCGAGAAACCAAGTCCAAGTTCTTCTATCTTCAATTTCAACAATTGCATATGCTACTGGATACATGCCATTGTTGGCATCTATACCAATGGCAGCAAGCAATTGGCCTGGATGTGGACCTTTAATGTGGCATCCATCCAATCCCACCACTGGCCTACAACCTTCCAAAAAGCCTCTTTTCAATGCTGCAAAGCATACATACAACCTCTGAAACCTAGGCCTTCCTCCTTCCATTTCAGTCTTCACCAAAATTGTACTCACAGGATTTCTTCGCTTGAGCTCCTCACAATGATCCCATAACCTTGCATATTGCTCCACATAAGCCCCTTCACTCTTCTCAGCTGTTAATGACCGTGCTTTATAAAGTTGAGCCGGTGTTACGTGCAACTTGTATTGTTTATGAACAGTTTGTTGAAATTTTGACACTTCCCATTTAGGATTGTCAAGCAAATCCTCAGCATACCTATGTGATAACCAAGTTGAGGTGCATAGTCTGAGCTTTTCCTTTCTCGGGCATGTATGGACATCATTGAGTGTTTTCATTATAAGTGCAGAGCTCTGATCTATTTTGCTTGCATAAATCACCCATGGACATCCCTCATTTGTACACATACCCTGAACTTCATAACGCTCTCTTATTGGGAATCTTATTTGTCCTCCATTCACACAACCATAAATGTCACTGCTTGTTTGAACTCCTTTCTATTGGAAAATATCATTCCAGTTCTAAATTGTGGGTTCTTGATATCCAAATCACTTCTAAAAGGAATGAGTTTAGGCATTTTATTCTTACTTTTCCACTTCACTGGTTGTTCACCTTCATATGATGAGCTAGAACCACTTCTAAAGCCATCAGAATCTTCGTAGTCTGTTTCAACATCTCCAAATCCTAAATCAGGGAAGGGTTCCGTATTACGTGATGCTTACCTATTTCCATTGCATTTTCCACTGGTATATTTCCCTTTAGTTTTCTCTACATTGTCGTCATATAAGTCGTCATCGACATCACTTTGTTCATCGCCGGAGTTTCAATAATGTGAATGTTCCGAATTGTCATCGCCATCTTTCTCTTCATTTTCCATGTTATGTATACCTACCTCAACAAGATTGTCTTGTTCCCGATCTCCTTCATAAGCTTGCTTCAAAAATCCCTCAAATATGCCAAAAGGATCAGACATGTGAGGAATGTCAAAAGAGTTTGTTGAAGCTTGAATTTCAATGTTTGGGGCCGACCTGTGAGGAATGTCAAAAGAGTTTGCTGAAGCTTGAATTTCAATGTATGGGGCTGAATTGATCAGTTGGACATCATCAACAATGTACACAAGTACCACTCTATTTAGAGTCCAAAAATCACTATCAGCAACCATGAGCTTGTAAGTTCTGTCATTTGGCAATGTGTAATAGTACTTAGCAGTCTTAGTATACCCGCTACTAGAAAAATAGCTATAGAACACTGATCTTATTGGTTCCCATTGGAAACAGTGGACACTGAATTCGGTGGCAAGCATAAACAGCCACCATGCAGCCACTAAATTAGGGTCCATGTCCTCTATAGAAGTCTCTATTGTAACAAACACCACCATTTACACATTGGTGTGCAAGGGAACAGTAGATATATGAGATTATTATATTTTGGTTTATTTGTTTATGAAAAGATTAAATATTTTGTCAGATAAAATATGCCTTTTAGAGCAAGTCCAGCCTTGCATGTAGGCCGGGGGACGGGCTGCAGGAAAGGGCCCGAGGGCCGGTCAATTCTTCTCTAGCCATGGAGAGCCCGAGTGAGGGTGGGAGCTCGGGGGCCGGGGGGGGTGGGCAATTGACAGGCCTGTGGCCCGAGGCCCGTGACGTCAGGCCTGGGTCCGGGCTTTTTTTTTTTTTTTTTTTTTTGTGTTAGGCGCGTGCCCCTCACTCGCGAGTGGGGGCGCGTCGCCCGACAGGATTTCAGGCAAGTGGCCCGCGCGCCCAGTGACTGTTGGGAAGCCACGTGGCTTCCCACGGTCCGTTCGATCCCAACGGCTCTTTAATACGAGCCGTCCGATTTGCAACGGTAATAAAAAAAAACTGATTTTATATTAACCGTTCGATCTAAGATCAACGGTTGATATTAATCAGCTTTATAAATTTAAAAAAAAAAAATAGTTTTAAAATTAAGAAAAGTTACCGTTATGACACGTGGCACAATCTGGAGTGTTGGAATTCAAATTTTTTAAAATCCAACGGCAGAGATTAATTATTTGAATAAAAATTAAAAAAAATTGTAAAAAATCCGAAAAAAATTGTAAAAAATTTGAAAAAAAATTTGTAAATTTTTTTTTTTACTTTTCTATAAATACCACTTCTTCTCCATCTACCTTACACCACAATTTCATATTTTCTCAACTACTTTCAATCAAATTCCTATCTTTCTCTCAAAGTTTCAATCCAATTTTTTTTCCACAAAATGACTACTGATGCAGGTACGAATTGGTCGCTTCTTGAAGATGTTGCGTTGTGCACTAGCTGGGTTGAAGTTACTCATAATTCCTTTACGGGTAATGAGATGTAGTTGCGAGAAATGTGGAGTTTAATTCATACCAAATTTCTTAAGCAGATGAGTGGGAAAAGAACCAAAAAATCGATGTCCAGTCGTTGGAAAATATTTAGCCCTTCCTTTAGTACGTAGAATTACATAAACACACCAAATAAAATTACATAAACATACCAAATAATAAAAAACTCACTACAAAAAACACACCAAATAAAATTACATAAACACACCAAATAAAACTAAAAAACTCACCAATTGGAATTACATAAACACACCAAATAAAATTACATAAACATACCAAATAATAAAAAACTCACTACAAAAAACACACCAAATAAAATTACATAAACACACCAAATACAAACAAACATACTAAATAAACTTAAGTATCTTCAGCTTGTTTCAAGGCCCACTGGTGCTCTATCAAGTCAATTTGCCGATCATTGTGCATAGATGACCTTTGAAGTGCAGTATATCGTTGAATGACCCTTTCATTGTAACGTCCATCCCTTTCTAATGGCTCGTGTTGCACAGGTTCTTCGGTGGCATCATGCGCACAATATATCTGTGTTCTTGAATTGTTCATCGTGTCTGACTCTGGCTCATATTCATCAACCGCATCATAATCGAACTCATCTTCCACAATCATGTTGTGAAGAATGACGCACGTCATCATGATGGATCGAAGTGACTCTACATCGAACATTCTGGCAGCACCCCTGACAATCGTCCAACGAGCTTGAAGGATACCAAAACAACGCTCCACATCCTTCCTGCACCCCTCTTGACAGCTTGCAAAGTGTTTTTCCTTTGCACTTCGCGGACGTGGCACTGTTTTGACAAATGTTTCCCATTGTGGGTAAATGTCGTCAACTAGGTAGTATGGCCTGTCGTACCTACGTCTGTTGACGACGTACGTGACTTGTGGTGCCTTTCCTTGCAGGACGTCGTTGAACACTGGGGATTGGGCAAGGACGTTGAGATCATTTTAAGCCCCGGGAACCCCGAAAAAGGCGTGCCATATCCATGTATCAAAAGATGCCACTGTCTCCAAAATGATATATTTTGCTCTTTTTATGTCCCCATATGCGCCTTGCCATGCACTTGGACAGTTTTTCCACGTCCAGTGCATACAATCGATGCTTCATATCATCCCAGGAAAACCTCGCATCTCGCCCATCTTCAGAAGCCTTTGCAAGTCCATGTGCGTAGGTCTTCGGAGGTACTCTCTGTCGTGTACAAAGATTCGACTGCTTTGCAAAATCTCATCAGGGCCTCAAGAATGGTTGATTTCCCCATCCTCGTTATCTCATCCACTTGGTCTGCAGATGCTCCATACGTAAGCATCCGCAACGCAGCAATAATTTTTTGCTGAGGCAGGAGACCCATAACACCACAAGCATCATTCTTTTGCACGAAGTAAGAATCATGGTTGCAAACATCAGTCATGATTCTGTTGAACAAATGTCGTTCCATTCTAAAACGGCGTCTAAAGTATGTATCAGAAAATGCACTGTTATGGACGAAGTAATCGTCCAACAACTCTTCACCTCGTCGTTACCTGCTTCTATCAAGGTTTCTTGAACGGCTGGGCCTGCATATCTGAGCAACAGTCTGGATGACTCGACGGGAATGTGAGGCTCTGACCATTCTTGTTTCGTCATCTCTCCTTCTACGCTCCTCATCTTCTTCCATCTCATTTTCGGCTATATGAAGGTTGTGTTGGAAATGTGCCCTAAAGCCAATAATGTGATGATACTTTACGGACATTTCACATGTTAAACTAATCTAGTTTTACATATAAAGGGCATACATTATTGTTTGAGCCGTCTCATATAAATGTTATATGCTTAAACGATAAAGTCCAAGGAATATGTGATTGGGAGAATGTAATCTAATGAAGTTAGATTCATGAGACCATTCTTTCGTAGACACATCCTAAACGTTCCTGATCATAGGATTGCCAATTGGGCGTTGACAGTCCGTTAAGATTAGTACGTACTATGTCTTCTCTCAGGGAGAGTGATTAGTCTCGAGTCATTGGTGTGTGTGACATCAAGACAAGTACGTAGGTGCTCAATAGAGAATGAGTTCACTGAACGTGATCAACGAAGAGTTCTTATATTCCATGTCACATGAGAACTCATGGTTGGGATAATGCAAAGTAGTCATTTGACCTGAGGCATCACAGTTGTCTTGTGGTTAAGTCCTTGATATTTGATTATGTCAAAGTCACCCCCTCGGGGTGTCCACGGCATCGTTGGGGTTAAGCCACTTAGCTATGGAGACAAGTGAATGCGCAACAAGGGATCTCTAACCTTCAAACAGTTGAGGGAGAATACTCTATGATATGATTTGGAATCTCTGGCCAGAGTATGAATGAGATTAAGGAATGCGTTCCAAATCACATTCAAGGAAATCATATAAGCACACGAATCACATTGGATAGTAGACATGAATAAATAAACTATCATACCAAACAATGTGGTCAAGAGTATTAGATTAGAGAAGGACCGTATTGCATTTGTAATCCCGAACTGAATAGGTTCTCTAACCTCTTCTGATTAGCTTGGGTAACCATGATATGCTGCTAGGTGTCACTCATGGTTTGTGGAAGCCCTAAACGTGTGTAATCACTAAAGGGAGAATTGAAAATAGTTTCAATTCACAATCGATGTAAAATGGTTTTAATCGCCTACTACCTCGCTAAAAGGAACCTAATGGATCGCACACCGTAAAAGGTAGAGATTGGAGATTAAACGGAAATGAGTAAGAATGATTAAATGGTTTAATCATTTATTTATGGCAAGGATTAATTAAGTTGTTAATTAATCAAACGAATAAGTTCGTTAAAGACTTCGGGATAGTTTTGGACCTTAAGGCCCAATGGGCTTCGAACGTCAAGCCCATTAATTTAAGTTGTATGACAATTTAATGAATAAAGATTCATTAAAGCCCAAAAGCCCAAATCCCTTTAAATGGCCGGCCATATGTGAATGAATTAGGGTTTTGGTTGTTTAGGTCACTTAAAGAAGTGACTATATAAATGATTTTATAGCCAAATATTCATTAAGTGATTAAGGGTTTATTTTGGGGGAAAATTGGTGAGAATTGTCTCTCAATTTTCTCTCTAAAGAGGCCAACACCTTGGAGGGTACATCTAGCAATCCTACTACTCCAAGGTCACTCATTTCTTCTACAATCTAACCTTGGTGAAGAGACTTAGAGGTTCTCAATTTTGGGAACTTAGAGAACCTATTCTTCCATCCAAATCCATGGATCTAAGAAGCAAGGAATGAAGGCCCAATCTCTTTGGGTGATTAGCCTTTGCTTATGCAAAGAGGAATCTACAAAGGTATTAATT